GACTTAATGTCTATTTCCTTTACCAGGTTAGGGAAGTTCTCTGTCATTAATTTTTCAGATAGGTTTTCAATTTCTTGCTCTCTCTCATCTCCTTCCAGCATCCCCATGATTTGAATGTTGGTACACTTGAAGTTTTCCCAGAGGCACCTTACACTATATTCATTTAAAAAATTTTTTTCTTGTTGTTCTGATTGGATGTGTTTTTTGTTTCCTTATATTCCAAATTCTGATTTGATTCTTGGCTTCATCTAGTCTGCTGTTGATTCCCTGTTGCCAGTTCTGTGGTTGGAGAGGGGCTCAGAAAAGGAACAATGGCCTCTGCCAGCACTTTTGTCTGGCAGAAAACTGCCCTCCCAGCTCTCTCCCTGTTGCCAGACAATTCAGTTTCTCCCATCTGTCCCAGGTTCCTTTCAAGCTGCTGCCTTAGTGCTGGAGCTCAGAGGGAGTGAATCTGAGTAAGTCCATGTGTGGGCCTTTTAAGAGGAATGCCTGAGACTCCAGAAGCCCTCTGTCTCACTCAGCCACCAACCCTGCTGGTTTCTACAGCCAGATATTATGGAGACTTCTCTTCCTGGCACTAGAGTCCTGGGCTGGGGGGCTTGGTGTGGGGCTTGGACCTCTTACTCCATGAGTGGGACCTCTGCAGTTACAATATCCCTCCCAATTTTTATCTACCACATGTGGGTGTGGGACCAACACATTCAGCATCTCCACCCCTCTTACCAGTCTCTGTGTGGCTTCTTCTTTAAATCCCTAGTTGTGGGACTTCCATGCAGCTAGATATCACATGGTTCTGAATGATGGTAGTTCTGTAGTTTAGTAGTGATTTTTATTTGGTTTTGGGGGGATTTGAGTACCACATTTACCTATGCTGCCATCTTGACTAGAAGTCAAGAACCAATATTCTAGAGTGATCTCCAACGTGCTGTCTAGTAGAATAGACTGTGAATATAAGCATTTTGCTCCTTAACTACCAACCAACTTTTTATCCTGTGGTGACTTTTGACCTAGCCTATGGTGGCTTTTAAAAATCTTTCTCCATGCACATGAGACCAGCTTATTTTGTAGGAGTGTAGTATGTACTACACTCTTTGGCATTTTGACTGCCCTGCTCATTTACAAAGACACTATTTAGTCAGGGATTATTGCGGGGAGGTTGAGGACTGGATATATGCTCATCCGAAGAAGATCCAGCTGAGAGCCTTATGAACTGGGGAAGTTTTCTGGACTCCTTCTCTCATCCTGGCAACACCTTATATTTTTCCTGGGCTCCCAACTGGTTCCAGAAAGGTCTTATTGATGTGACTGGTTCAACTTGGTAGAGGACGGGAGACAGTCCCAACCCCTAGCTGGGAGATTTGCTCCTTAGAGGCCAGGCCTGTGGCCTGTAGGTGGTCTGATGGTTGTTCAGAAGTGCCAGGGCTGAGCTTCCAGTTCCTTTAGCAAACACATGCTCCATGCTGGTGCTGTGCCAGGCTCTGCGGTACAGACAGGGGCCAGATACACTCCCTGTCCTTTTGTGCAGAATAAATGTGTAGAAGATTTTAGGTGTGACAGTGACCTCTGCACCAGCAGCTCTGGGTCTCGATCCCAGGATACAGGCAGTGGCTCTCAGGAGAAGGCAATTCCAGGGCTCAGGCCTGACCTGTGAAGAGGTGTTTGCTCTTTCTGCAGCCTCGGGGGTGTGCAGAGGACTCAGTGTGACCAAAGGGCACACTGGAAGAACACAAAGTCCTCTGGAGGAGAGAGAATAGAGTATGAGAGGCTGCAGCATGGGTACTGTCCAGTGAAGAGGTCAGTAATGGCAGCCAATGCTGGAGCCCAGACTCGACCCATCAGCTGTGGGCAGCACTGAAGTGTTTTTCACCACAAGGGATCCAGTCCAGTTTTGGTGTTAACTGTGTATTCCAAACCTGTTCCATTGAGTCTGAGTTGGGAAGGAACCCTCAGTTGCTCCCCATGGTCTCTGGGAACTCAACCCCTGAGTGCTGGGCACTGTGGGAGAAGGTGGTCCTCATCTGACTGTTTTCTGCTGGCCGCCTTGCATGACAAGCAGAGGACAATTTTTAGCAAGTCCCTGGGTGATTCTTTTGTGGGTGGTCTGAGCGCTGACTCAAAGGTTCAGTTCACGTTCTCTATCATGTTAACTAGTGTATTTCTTATCCTGTTTTATTTTGAGAAGAAAATCAAGAGGAGCAATTTTCCTTCCCAATACCTTCCCACCCACTTAGCATTTTTTGTTCATGTCGCTGCCAGCAGTGAGTGGAAAGGAGCTTTAAAAACAGCCTCCTTCACAGACAAGCACATTTGCCCTTGCCCAGTGTCACCATTCACCCTAAGTCAGGACAGCAGCTGAGGAGGGACTGTGAGGAGCTGACACCACTCTCCCCCAACCTGAGAGGCAAAGGAAAGAGGGAGCTGACTCTCTCCCACCTTTCCCCAAGTCTGTCTCTCTGCAACTCCTTGGTGGCCCCTTGACCCTCCTTCTCTGTCATGTGGGAGAACTCAGTGCGCTGAAGTGTCAGCCTACCCTACCTTTGTGGGAGACTAGGAACCAGATCCTGGGCTGCAGCTGGCCCCTGCTCCCTCTATCCTGTACCAAAGGAGCTCAAATCCCCTCTTGCATGAGAGAGAATCATGCATTTTAAGGTGGCCTGAACATCTGATTTTGTTGGGAACATTTTAATATTGTTAAGCTTTTCTGGTATACAAATATGACATGCTTCTTATAGAAAATAGAAATTAAGAAAATGCCCTGAAATCTGCATTAGAGACAGTCACCTGCCAATCTTCTCTCTGCCTGGATCCACATCTCGATGTGTAGATTCACAGATGGATAGCCTCATGGACATGCAGTCATGGATACTTGATGTAAATCATTTGTTTTTCAAGTACAGTTGACACAATATTATGTTAGTTTCTGGTGTACATCCCAGTGATTAGACAGTATATACTTTACATATATTGTATATATTCCAATACATCTCATATCCATCTGACACCATACATAGTTTATTAGAATATTATTGACTATATTTCCTATGCTTTACTTGCATAGTATTCCTTTGTGTGGATGACTTTTTCTTTAACTTACCCCTCCCAACATTTAAGTTATTTTCTTCTTTTTTCCTGATTCTTAACATCTTTTACACTTGTCTGCCTATCAGCTTAGAATAAATTTTCACATGTTGGTATAGCTGTAAGACAGGGTATGTCCATTTGAAACTTTGATATATTTATGCAAGTGTAGTCTCCATCCAGCAGACACATTCTTGGTCTGTGGATAGATTTGCACTTTCACCTTTACTTCCCTACTCTGCAGGGAAATCCTGAATGTCAACATCAAGCCTCAGTAACTGCAGAAGATTACACAATGACTCTCATCTGGAACCCCATGCAAATCAGTGTGGCCACATAGCCCACATTTGTGTCCAACACCCTTTCTGTTGAAATGTAGACTAAAGCACTCTTCTGGAGCTGGAAATAACTGTACAGAGCCTGCCCTTTAATCTGCTAGGGAAGGGAACCATGGCTCAGAGAGGTCAACGGCCTTCCCAGACTGCAGTAATGCACTAGGACACCCAGTCCAGTGTCCCCCCAAGGCCACTACCTCCTTGCACTTGGCTATGTGTCTTTAAGTTTCCTGGTCATACATTCACTGTGCCTTTCCCCCTCCCAACTTGCACATGCACTGGGGAGGGTCAAGCTTTCACCTCCTTGGCTGAGGGTCAGTGCTCATGCTACCCAGGAGGTGGTGGTGCTTCTCCCTGGCAAGGCCCACGGTTAGCAGCGCAGGTCCCTGGCAACAGCCCTCATATTGTTCTTTAGGTGACTCTCCCCTCGCCCCCATTGGTGTTTAACATTTGGTGCTGTCACCCCCCTCCCTCTGGAGCCTGTGGGCTCCCTCCCTGGTTTCCCTCTGTTTTTCTGAGTACTTCTTCCATGCCCCTGCCTGCCTCTCCTTATTGTCACTTTGTGACACTATTTCCAAAGGTCACTCCTTGCTTCTGTTGCCTCTTCACAATCATTTCTTATCTGTTAAAGCCCAATTATTCTCAGTATCCTGGGCCCATATTTCTAGCTCCCTCCAAGTCACCTTAACCCAAGGTCTCTCAACTTTGGCACTATTGACATTTTAGCATGAACAACTCTTTGTTGTGGGGGGCTGCCCTGTGCATTATAGGATGTTTAGCAGCATTCTTGGTCTTTACTGACTAGATGCCAGTAACACCCACTTGGTTTTGACAACCAAAAAATATCTCCAGACATCACACATGTCCCGGGGTGGAGGGGAGAATTGTCCCTGGTTGAGAACCGTTGCCTTAGCTGGGTTGCATGTCATTAAAGCTAAACCAAGCCCTGCTCCTCCCCTCCCCCTTATCCAACTAGAACTGGGTTGACCAGATGCCACGAGATTCTAGCATGACTTTGTGCATACTAAAAGTCAAGAAGACTGAGGGACAGGAGCCAGGTTGACAGAATTCTGAGAGTTGGAAGGGGCCCCTGAGACCCTGAGCTCAGGTGTGCTAAGCTGTTGGGGCTCTCTTTCCCTTTAAGCAAAGACAGCCTCAAGCTCTTCTTAGCACCGCAGTCCAGTGGAGCAGAGTTGGTGTGAAAGGTGAACCTCTGCGCTATCCCTGCTCAGACTAACAACCTCACAGGTACAGGGCGAAGTTTAGTGGTGGGAAAGCTTCTTGATGTGGCTTTTGGCTGTACTTATTAAAGATCACATGGCATCTGGTAGTACTGTGTCCCCAAGACCAGGCCTGGCACAAAGCTGGTATTCAGCAAACGGTGGGATAAATCATTTTAACAGTGATTGGCTCAGGATGGTGGGACTGGGGTGACATTTTAATTTTGTTTTGCAGTTTTTAATTTTCAGAACTTTCTATAATTGGGAGTGGTTATCACTATGAAAAGGCAAGAGAAGCCATGGATATTTACCTGTAGGTCAGAGGAGAAAAGATCCCTGCCTCATTCCACCTGTCTTGCCTCCCCAGGTCTGACCCACCAGAAACATGGCAACCAGCGCCGTCCCCAGTGACAACCTCCCCACGTACAAGCTGGTGGTGGTGGGGGATGGGGGTGTGGGCAAGAGTGCCCTCACCATCCAGTTTTTCCAGAAGATCTTTGTGCCTGACTACGACCCCACCATCGAAGACTCCTACCTGAAACACACAGAGATTGACAATCAGTGGGCCATCTTGGACGGTGAGACCTGGCGGCAGCCCTGTGGGGGGCGGAGGCCATCTGCACAGAGGGGTCAGGGAAGGCTGACAGGCTTCAGTGGGGCATGATGGTTTTCTGCAAGTTGCCATTAGGAAACAATTGGTATTATGAGATAGTTGGTACGAGGCCATATGTGGTTTCCAGGGTGAATTCTGAACAGCTTTGTGGAAACCAAAATGTGTATTCAACAAAGAGGCAGGGCTAGACTCATGCCAACTCAGTAATGTCATGTTTGTTATTTCTTGCTGGTCAGAAGCTCTGATTAGCATTCACAGATGTCTCTAACTAATAAAAAAAAAGGAGGGAGAGATAAATTTCTTAATCACTATAGTTTATTTGGTAATTATCCCTTGCTGGGGGGGAGAAAAAAACCTTTCATCTGACATTGTGTTTCTAGTTTAGGCTTAATTGGTTGAGATTAGTAGTTCTCCAAGTGTGGTAGCCAGGTCAGCAGCATCAGCGTCCAGGGAACTTACTGGAAATGAAAAACCTCGAGTCCTACTGATTCAGCAATTCTGAGGGTGAGGCCCAGCAGTCTGTGTCTTAATAAGCCCTCCAGGTAATGGTGAAGTTAGGGAGCCACTACTCCAGATTCTTCATGATTATGACTCTATACACTGAGTCTCTCTCTTAAACAAAGAGCCATTGATCATAGAATGTCATTATAGGAGGGAAGCTTTGAAAACCACTGGGATACAAGTCCTCTGTCAGATATGTGATCTGCAAATATTTGCTCCCACTCTGTGGCTTATTTCTCATTCTCTGGGTAGGGTCTGTCAAAGAGCAGATTTTTCAGCATTTGTTAAGTCCCCTTTATCAGTTGTTCTTTTGTGGATCTTGCTTTAGGTGTTAAATCTAAGAAATCGTCACTTAAACCAAGGTCACAAAAGTTTCCTCCTCTATTTTCTTCCAGAAGCTTTGGAAGGTTTTAGGGTTATCATCTACCCCGAGTTAATATTTTATATGGCATGAAGTGTGGAACAAAGTTCATTTTTTTTTGGTATACAAATATGCAATTGTTCCAGCACTATTTGTTGAAAAGATTGTCTTTTCCTGACTTTGTACCTGTGATGAAAATTGTTCACCCATATATTCCATTTCTTGGATCTATATGTCTGTTTTAACACCAGTACTGTACTGTCTTGATAACTGTAGATTTATAACGAGTCTTGAAATCAGGTGCTGTTAAATCTCCAGCTTTGTTCTTTTTCAAAGTTGTTTTGGCTAGCCAAGGTCCTTTGCATTTCCATATGAATTTTAGACTCTGTTAAATTCTAAAATTCTAGATTTTGACTGGAATTGGGTTGAATCTGTAGCTCAACTTGAGAGAATTGACATCTTAACAATGTTGAGCTCCCGGCCCATGAGCCCATCAGCTCCCTCCCTTTATTGACGTCTTCTTCAACTCTCTCACCAGTTGTTCTGTGGTTCTGAGTGCATAGGTCTTTCACATATTTCGTCAGCTTTATACCTACATCTGTGTTATGTATAATACTGTTTTTTATTGCAGTTTTGAGGTTTTTGTTGCTAGTACTTAGAAATACTATAGAATTTTGTATATTGATTTTATAACCTGCAACCTTGCCAAACTCACATATTCTAGCTTTTTTGTAGGTTCCATTGGATTTTCTGCATAGATGTTCATGTTAGAGTAAAGATAGTTTCACTTCTTTCCAGTTTGGATGGCTTATTTCTTTTGCTGAGTTTTTATCAGGAGTGGATGTTGGATTTTATCAAATGCTTTTTCTGTGTCTACTGAGATAATCATAGGATTTTCCCTTTTTTAGTTTGTTAATATGTCAAATTAACATTGCATCCCTGGGATAAACTGTACTTGGTCATGATGAATTGTACTTTTATATGTTCTTGGCTTTGATTTGCTAAAATTCTGTTTGGAATTTTTGCGTCTATGTTCTTGAGAGATACTGGTCTGTAGTTTTCTTGTAATGTTGAATAATGGTGGCTTTATTGAATGACCGGGGAAGCATGCTCCCTTCAATTTTCTGGAAGAGTCTAAACAAAATTGGTATTATTTCTTTCTTAAATGCTTAGTAGAATTTACCTAAGAGGACATCTGGGCCTGAGGGTTTTTTTTTTTAAGGAAAACTTTAAACTACAAATTCAATTTCTTTAACAGAAACAAGGCTATTCAGGTAATTCCTTTATTTTTTTCAGTGAGCTTTGGTAGTTTGTGTCTCAAAATTTTGTTTAGTTCATCGAAGTTATCAAATTTATTGGCATAAAGTTGTTCATAATACTCTCTCTTTTTTTAAATCCTCACCCAAGGAAATGTTTATTGATTTTAGAGAAAAGAAGTGGGGAGAGGTGAGAGAGAGAAAACATCAATCAGTTGCCTCCTGTTCATACCCCAACCAGGGTTTGAACCCACAACCTAGACATGTGCCCTGACTAGGGATTGAACCTGCAACCTTTTTAGTACAGAATGACACTCCAACTAACTGAGTCACCCAGCCAGGGCCATAATATTCTCTTACTGTCTTTTTATTATCTGTAAATCTGTAGTGATGCTACATTCCTAATATTAGGATGCTCTCATTCCTAATATTAGTAATTAGTGTCTTTCCTTTTTTCCTGATGCTTCTGGCTAGAGATTTATCAATATCATTGATTTTCTCAAAGAACCAGCTTTTGAGTCCATTGATTCTTCCCATTTGGCTCCACTGATTTCCACTCTCATCTTTAGTATTTCCTTTTTTGTCTGCCTACTTTGGATTTAATTTGCTCTCTTTTCCTAACTTCTTACAGTAGAAACTGATGTCATTGATTTGAATATTTGTTTTTTTCCTAGGTATTCATCTGATGCAATAAATCTCCCCTAACTGCTCATTTAACTGCATCCCACAAAATGTAATAAGTTGTGTTTTATTTTCATTCAGTTCAAAATACTTTGTAATTTTCCCTTTGATTTCATCTCTGACCCACTGGTTACATAGAAATGTATTATTTAGTTCCCAAGTATTTAGGAAATTCCCAGAGATCTTTCTGTCATTCATTTTTATTTTCATTTCATTGTATCAAATAACATACAGGATATCATTTGAATTCTTCAGACTCGTTGAGGCTTGTCTTATGGCCCAGAATATGGCCTGTGTTGGGCAGCATTCCATGTGCACATGAAAAGAACATGTTTTTCTGCTATTGTTGAAGTCTTCGATCACTGTCAATTAGATCAAGTTGCTTGATAGTGTTGTCAAAGTCTTCCATATCCTTACTGATTTTCTGTTTAGTTGTGCTATTATTGAGAGTGAGAGGTGTTGCATTTCAGAGTATTATTGTGAATTTGCCTATTTTTTCCTATCAGTTTTTGCTGCATGTACTTGGACACTCTATTATTAAGTGCATAAATGTTTGAGACCAATACATCCTCTTGATGAACTGACTCCATTTTTATTGCAAAATGACGTTCTTTGACTCTGGTTTTCCCTCCCTGCACCGTGGCCTGGACACTCTCTCCAGGCTGTAAGCTGGGCACTTACAGGTGCTCTCACTTCTTTCATATCTCACCTCAAAGGGTCACCACCCTTTGTTGCCTGATGTTCATTGTCTTGAAAACCATTGTTTTATATATTTTTGTCTGGCTTTTTTTTTTTTGGTTGTTTCAGCTGAGAAGGTAAATCTGGTCCTTGTTTCTCTATCTTGACCAGAACCAGACCAAATCATCACTTTGAAAAAAATACAACTTTGTGTATATACTAAAAGCCACTGAATTTTAGCAGTCCATCACCTTAACCACTCGGCCACCTTGTCAAGCCACTGAATTTTAAAGTGAAAAATGTTTTTTAAAGGATGACTGTTATCCTTTTTGAATGATATCCTAATTTTACAAAGCACCGTCCTTCCTGGGCCTGTCTGCAGCCCTGGAACTTGGAACGGTTCCATCAGGTACCTGGCGGCTCCGAACACGTTCCCACCTCAGGGACTTTGTGTTCGTGTTCCCTCTGCCTAGAACCTTCTTGCTGCAGAAGGACATTATTGCTTCACTCAGGCCTCCGCTCAAATGTCACTGTATCTGAGAGGCCTTCCCTGAGCAAGCCATCCATGGCCATGCCCACCTGACCCCGTCACTCCTGTGCCCCTGTCCGACTCCTTTTCCTTGTTCTCCCCTTTACTGTTGAACATACATTTGTTTAATGCGTTTATTTGTTTGCTTCAGTTTTTATCATTCCCCACTAAAATATACACTTCTGAGAGCAGGGGCTTTGTTTTATTTACTTCTGTATCCTCAGCATCTAGAATACTGCTTGGCCCCTGGTAAATCCTCAGTAAATGTGGAATGATTGAGTGAATGAATGAATTCTGAACAATATGTGTGCAGTCACAGGTCTGATGTGCTAGCTGTATTGTTCCTAACATATGTTAAAGTAAATATATATAACTATTAAAAATGTATGGCTCTGGCTGGTTAGCTCAGTTGGTTCAAGTATTGTCCCAATTCACCAAGGTTATAGGTTCGATCCCTGGTCAGGGCACATATGAAAAGCAACCAATGAATGCATAAATATGTGGAACAATAAATTGATATTTCTCTGTCTCTCTCTCAAATCAATTTAAAATTTCTTTAAAAAATAAATTTAAGAACTTAGATTTATGAACATTCTAAAATCATCTCATATATCACCTCTTCGAATATATATGAGGTCTGTCCAGAAGAAAGTCCAGCCATTGTTAATATAATGAGAATGATTTGTGTGACATTGATGTAATCTGGCAGCCAAGGAGAGTGGACTGGAATGCCCATGGGTGAATAGTGATGACATCACAATACTAGTCAATGGGGGTGGTAGACACTGTTGAGTGAGCTTGTGTACTGTGTGGCTGTCACATTCAGAATGACTGAGTGAGTACAGCAATGAATCTGCATCAAATTTTGTATTAAGTTTGAACATTCCTCCATGGAAACTATTGGATGATTTAGAAGGCTGCAGCTATGGGCACCTGGTGATTGGCAGTTTCATCATGAC